GACTGTCAAGACTGCCCAAGAACCTGTGTATCAGTTGCCGTCGCCGCAGTATTGGAAGTTAGTTGCGCTTGTCAGACGCTCTCCCCGCAGACTGCCTAACTAACGCTCCGCACATGTGCAAGACTCACCAGCTAAGAGCGGACGGGAGAAAGGCCATCTGCCACTTAGACTTGAAGCTGAAAGGCACAATTGTAGATTGCGTGTTGCATGTCTTAAACACCAGTGGGAGATCAAAACAGCGTCAAATGGGCGGAGTGTTGATCGCAACATTTTAGCGAAATGCACCTCGTCGAAACACAACTGCAGTGTTGTTTTAAATCTGAGACAAAATCAATCATGGGTCTTGTGCAGTCGTTGAGTCCTAAACATCAAATGCTTCTATCTCCTTTCCCTCCCAGCAAGCCGTGAGACACTATAAGCTTTGGAGACCGCCCAAATTGTGCCGCGCAACGCGCGCCTCGGAGCCTCTCTCTGACCCCTTCGGGAGGCAAGGCTTTTTGGCGTGTTTGAGGGTGCCCTTTTCGGAGTTGGTTTGAAGGAAAACCCAAAGAAACAAACAATCGCGCTAGGGGCTTGTCCCTTATTCTAAGACAAATCTTTTTTTGTGCCAATTGTGGATGTCCCCTGTGACCACCCAACCCTACCAGCCAACCAACCAACAGCAGGGTATAGAACAGCGGAAAAACCAAGCAACCAAACGTGCAGGGAACCAAACTAATCTTAGGAAAAACATGCCGAATCCACATTGGGCTTTCACTGAACAACGGGCACTTGAATCTGAATCCCTGCCGCAAAAAACAAAAAACAGCTGGCAGCAACCCTTCTGTCAACTCATCCAGGTGGAGCAGCATAACATCTGGACGACTTACCGTAGCAGGGTTCCCCATCAGCTGGGAAAGGAAGTGATTTGACTGGCCCAAGTGTATCCTTTACGGGACCGATCGGAAAGAAAGAATCCAAACAGATTTCATTGAGCTTGTCTTCAGATCCGTCCCGTGACACATTTCCCAGACCGGTCCAGCTGGACACCACCAAGCTTCCCGTGCATTGGCTGTCTGGATCGGATTGGTGGATGGGTGGTTTGCTCGTCCGGGGCTTCCCATTTCAGCCAGAGGGACTCCCCAATCCGTGTCCCATTTGCCCTCTCAAGAGCTCAACTCGAATCCCCAGACCTACCCTTTGTCCAACAATCATGGAAATGGAAGTAAGGAACAATCATGGAAGTGGACAAAGGGGTTGCCCAAAAGGAAACCCCTCCAAAACCCTCCAGTCAGCTTCCATGATTGGAGGGAGGGAGAACCAAAGGGTCAGCAGGGACCCGAAAAGTGCACCTGGCCCCGCGAAAGGCAGCTCAGCTGAGAACCAACTCATGGGCCGACACGCCACGCCTCAGGAGTGGCAATCAAACCGCGAACTCCGTCACCCACACATCTGGAAGTTAAAAAATATCACATGTTAAAGACTACTTGAGGAAGACATCATGGGCTTGCTCTTGGAAATGATCCGGTTGGACGCGAAAAGCAGGATTTGAACCGGTGGAACCTTTGAAGACTAGTCTTACCCCAACCCGTTTACGAAAAGTGCTTCTAAACGTAGCCGAAACGAAAGGAACTCAAACATGGGAGCTCATTCTGACTTGTGCCAAACTTGCTGAGAAAGCAACCACCGGGCAATTGTAGGACAAGTGAACGCGGAACCCCCGAGTTACGGAATCACTTGAAATGGTTAACCAGTATGTGAGGTTTGCAAGGTAGGAGGGTGTGGAAACAAAGGGGGGCATCAACAATAGCCCTTAGTAAACTAGGTGCAAACGTAAGGCTGAATGAGCACAGAAAACTTCAACTAGGTGGGTGGTTGACCCCTGCTAGAAGTCAATCTTTGGAGGGCCCTGTTTTTTCGACCCCCAACCTGCTTCTGTGACCCCTAACACCGAGAGGTAACATACTTCTTTCGTTCGGGGTTGCCCCGAGGGGCCAAACTGCCAAGTCCCAAAAAACTCGCTCCAAAGCCAAAGGACAACCTAGATGCATCGGGACCCGAACGCAACTGGCCCCATGGTTCGAAGGAATCGAATCGAATCGCTCGTTTCACCTGAAGGTAACTCACCCGGCCATAGGGAGCCAGGCAACGGTCTGACTTCACTGGCTCGAAGTGAAATGAAGTGAAATGTGTGTGTTTCTTCCCTTTGGAACCTGGGTCTGCAAAAAAGAAAAGCGCGTGGGTTCAACGAAAAAACCTTAAAGATTTCAACCAAAAAGTTCCAGCCTAAAGATCCAATCGCAACCATGGACAACTCGTTCTGTGGTTTAGTTCCTATCAGCTTCGTTTGGAGCCGGATGCTCGGCTGAGGCTGCGGGCACCAGCACCGGCTCTCGGCCCAAAGTCTGGCGACATGTGGCTCTCACTTGGCTTGGGCAGGGAAAAAACGTTTCTTTTGTTTCACCCCTTTCTTTTAACCACGAAAAACATCAAATCCAGGAACTCGGGAAATGAGAAAATTCTTTTTTTAGTAAGTTCCAAGAAAATCCATGTCACTTAGCATATCTGGCATGATTTGCCGATGCTTCAGGAAGAACAAACAGCCAATGAGAAATCAAAACCACCGGCCAACCACCTGAAATCGTTTTGCGCCATTTTTTAAGCTTAGTAAGTGCCGTATGGCACGAATGGGCATTGCATGTATATATTTGGTGTAAGGGGGGGCTGAAATTCTCACCACATATGTGGTTTCCTTTTGCTAAGATGGACTCACATTTGGCATTAGCAGCCAGCAGCCAGCTGGCCCACAAACACAAGCGATCTGCGTGCAAACACGCGGACGGCTGCGTAAGATCCATGTGGCTCTCACTTGGCTTGGGCAGGGAAAAACTTGTTTGTCTCGTTGTGTGTTTCTCGGTTTTTTCCATTTTTTTTACCACGAAAAGCATCAAATCCAGGAACTCGGAGAATTAGAAAAGTCTTCTTTTAGTAAGTTCCAAGAAAATCCATGTCACTTACCATATCTGGCATGATTTGCCGATGCTTCAGGAAGAACAAACAGCCAATGAGAAATCAAAACCACCGGCCAACCACCTGAGATCGTTTTGCGTGTTTTTTAAGCTTAGTAAGTGCCGTGTGGCACGAATGGGCATTGCATGTAATATGTGGTGTAAGGGGGGCTGAAATTCTCACAACATATCCATTCCATGTGGTTTCCTTTTGCTAAGATGGACGTACATTTGGCATTAGCACCCAGCATGCCAGAGTTGGCCAAGCACATGTAACGCAAAGGGGCTGCGGACCTGTTTTGACCCGCAGTGAAAACTGAACAGAGCTGGTTGGTCTGTGCAGCCGGGCACATGTAGGCCTGTCTGTACCTTAAGCCTACGGAGTTTCGATTGAGCGCCTGCATGACACAGCTGGTCAAGGTTGAAGCGTCCTGGCAAGCTGAAATGAATGGGTTCCAAGCACATGCTCACCAAACATGATGATGTAGCAAGGCACGGCAACCTTGGCAGCTTAAGAAAGGTGGCTGTGACCTTCCTAGTGGCGCCTGCCAGTTCTCAGTGAGAACAAGCGGCGGAAAAGAGTCAACTGATGTCAGCTGGCATTGAGCATTCGCAAGCCAGGCATGCACGATACTGCACAAATCCCAAGCCTCCAACCAAATTCACGAGCCCTGCTTGGCCTCCTGTTTGAAGAATTTCTTCATGATGTTCTCATCCACCCAGGGCGCCATGGCCAAAGCTGCCCCAAAGCGCAGCGGCAGAAGCAGCCGAGCGATGTTGGAAGCCGCAAAGACGAGGCCGAAGACAGCTGCGCTCTCCTCAGGCTTGCTGAAGTCTGGCCAATGGCCTGCCGTGTTCAGGTAGACGATGCACTCTGTGGGGAAGGCAATGGCCCAAAAGAGCAGCTCTGTGATCACGTAGGACAAGGTGCCGGCTGCGCCATACTTCTTCACGTCGTCCATGGAAATGTTGCCGTAGGTATCCGGCTCCCAAACGTTGAATGGCTTCTTGTCCTCCACTTGCGATTCCTGCTCCTTGCCCTGTGCTCGCAAGGCCGTGCGTGGAATTGCGGCGCAAAGGCCGGCAACCGCCCAAAGGCCCACAACCACGGCGCCCATTCCCTTGGCCTCTGGCTGCCCTGACGTGCCCGAGATCGCAGGGCTCGCAGGGCTCGCAGGGCTCGCACGTCTTGAAGGGGCCTGGGCAGTGCTTTGCGCAGCTGCGCGGGGTGGGGCGACAAAGCCCCGAGCATTCCAAAGAGCTGCGCAGGCGCAAGCCGCCAGTACAAATCCGCGCGTGCGAGCGGGCGACATTGCAATCTTCTGCCAAAACACCTACTTCTGGAGCCCTCTGGCAGCGGCTCTTTCTCGCTTCATCCAAAAAGGGTCAGGAGCTGGCTCTCAGGAAGCTTTTGGCCCTGCCAATCAACTCCGATGGGTGGTGCTATGCTGGGTTGATGAAGGAGGCGGGGTCGATCAAAAGCAGGGCCAAGCAAAATCAAAGCAAACTAGAAACCCAACAAACCCACGGCCAACAATTGGCTCAACACATGTTTGCAAACATCCTGTCTCGTCTCAACTTGCTGAAGCCACGTGAAACCACTCGGCGAGCACGTGCATGCAACTTAGCCCGCAGACATATATATCTCTCTCTCTCTCGCTCTCTCTCTCTCTCTCTCTCTATTTTCCCTCGAAAGGAAGCTGGACATGGAAACTTTGGTCTCTGTCTTGCAGCCAGGCATGCCGTGTTGGAGGTTTCACTACTGTACCTGCCTCCAAGGGCTCGTTGCCTGAAAACCTGCATGGCGCGACGACCTTCTGAGTGGCCATTGGCCAAACAAGTGGCGCCTACCAGTTCTCAGTGAGAACAAGCGGCGGAAAAGAGTCAACTGATGCTAGTTGGCATTGAGCATTCGCAAGCCAGGCATGCACCATATTGCACAAATCCCAAGCCTCCAACCAAATTCACGAGCCCTGCTTGGCCTCCTGTTTGAAGAATTTCTTCATGATGTTCTCATCCACCCAGGGCGCCATGGCCAAAGCTGCCCCAAAGCGCAGCGGCAGAAGCAGCCGAGCGATGTTGGAAGCCGAAGACAGCTGCGCTCTCCTCAGGCTTGCTGAAGTCTGGCCAATGGCCTGCCGTGTTCAGGTAGACGATGCACTCTGTGGGGAAGGCAATGGCCCAAAAGAGCAGCTCTGTGATCACGTAGGACAAGGTGCCGGCTGCGCCATACTTCTTCACGTCGTCCATGGAAATGTTGCCGTAGGTATCCGGCTCCCAAACGTTGAATGGCTTCTTGTCCTCCACTTGCGATTCCTGCTCCTTGCCCTGTGCTCGCAAGGCCGTGCGTGGAATTGCGGCGCAAAGGCCGGCAACCGCCCAAAGGCCCACAACCACGGCGCCCATTCCCTTGGCCTCTGGCTGCCTGACGTGCCCGAGATCGCAGGGCTCGCAGGGCTCGCAGGGCTCGCACGTCTTGAAGGGGCCTGGGCACTGCTTTGCGCAGCTGCGCGGGGTGGGGCGACAAAGCCCTGAGCGGTCCAAAGAGCTGCGCAGGCGCAAGCCGCCAATACAAATCCGCGAGTGCGAGCGAGCGACATTGCAATTTTCTGCCAAAACACCTGCTTCTGGAGCCCTCTGGCAGCGGCTCTTTCTCGCTTCATCCAAAAAGGGTCAGAAGCTGGCTCTCAGGAAGCTTTTGGCCCTGCCAATCAACTCCGATGGGTGGTGCTATGCTGGGTTGATGAAGGAGGCGGGGTCGATCAAAAGCAGGGCCAAGCAAAATCAAAGCAAACTAGAAACCCAACAAACCCACGGCCAACAATTGGCTCAACACATGTTTGCAAACATCCTGTCTCGTCTCAACTTGCTGAAGCCACGTGAAACCACTCGGCGAGCACGTGCATGCAACTTAGCCCGCAGACATATATATCTCTCTCTCTCTCTCGCTCTCTCTCTCTCTCTCTATTTTCCCTCGAAAGGAAGCTGGACATGGAAACTTTGGTCTCTGTCTTGCAGCCAGGCATGCCGCGTTGGAGGTTTCACTACTGTACCTGCCTCCTAGGGCTCGTTGCCTGAAAACCTGCATGGCGCGACGACCTTCTGAGTGGCCATTGGCCAAACAAGTGGCGCCTACCAGTTCTCAGTGAGAACAAGCGGCGGAAAAGAGTCAACTGATGCTAGTTGGCATTGAGCATTCGCAAGCCAGGCATGCACGATATTGCACAAATCCCAAGCCTCCAATCAAATTCACGAGCCCTGCTTGGCCTCCTCTTTGAAGAACTTCTTCATGATGTTCTCATCCACCCAGGGCGCCATGGCCAAAGCTGCCCCAAAGCGCAGCGGCAGAAGCAGCCGAGCGATGTTGGAAGCCGCAAAGACGAGGCCGAAGACAGCTGCGCTCTCCTCAGGCTTGCTGAAGTCTGGCCAATGGCCTGCCGTGTTCAGGTAGACGATGCACTCTGTGGGGAAGGCAATGGCCCAAAAGAGCAGCTCTGTGATCACGTAGGACAAGGTGCCGGCTGCGCCATACTTCTTCACGTCGTCCATGGAAATGTTGCCGTAGGTATCCGGCTCCCAAACGTTGAATGGCTTCTTGTCCTCCACTTGCGATTCCTGCTCCTTGCCCTGTGCTCGCAAGGCCGTGCGTGGCATTGCGGCGCAAAGGCCGGCAACCGCCCAAATGCCCACAACCACGGCGGCCAGTCCCTTGGCCTCTGGCTGCCCCGGCGTGCCCGGGCTCGCAGGGCTCGCAGGGTTCGCAGGGCTCGCATGTCTTGAAGGGGCCTGGGCAGTGCTTTGCGCAGCTGCGCGGGGTGGGGCGACAAAGCCCCGAGCATTCCAAAGAGCTGCGCAGGCGCAAGCCGCCAGTACAAATCCGCGCGTGCGAGCGGGCGACATTGCAATCTTCTGCCAAAACACCTACTTCTGGAGCACCTTCGCGATGAGCAGCTTCTGAGATTCCATTTCTCAGCAATTGTTAGAATCATGAATGCCCAATTGATGGCCTTTCCAACGCCACTTGGGCGGTCGGCAAAGTAAGCTGTTGACGTTGTTGCTGCCTTAGCCGGTAGCCCATTTATCAATCTCGGATGAATGCAACGCCTCACTCCAACTCAGGGCTGTGGGAAATGACCACTTCCGTGATACAACAGAAAGGGTGTAACCCCAAAGACTAACCCCCCATATAAGACTTTTGTTGGCAACCAAGAAATAGCACAACCACTTAGCCGAACGGCTCCCACGCTTCACTCCAAGAAGAGATTCGCTTGTATCACAATCTGGGAAGACCCTGAGTGGTCAACACCCTGCTCCAACTCCCTCGGACGAAGAACAAATCGTGCCTGACGCCAGGGCTCTGACCCGCTGCGCGGCAGGCGCCCCATACGCGCCGCGGTGTCCATTAACGGCGCCTCCTGGTTTGGACCAGTGGAAGCGTGAAAACACCAGCTGACACGTCGGTTTTTTGAGGGTGCCCCTTTTTGGGTTGGCAGGAAACCAGAAGGAAAGCCACAAATTGTGACGGGGTCCTCTATTTTAAGACACATCCGTTTGTCTAGATTCCTTGGGTGAAGCCTGTTCCCTCATCGGAGCCGCTGGGGGTTGTGGTTGTGGGGCTCAAGCAAACTGGCTTCCTTTGCGGACTTGCTATGGTCATTTGACTTCTACTTTTATTTTACTTTATCTTTTGGGGGGTGCTGTTCAAGCCAAAAACCATAAATGGCCACTTGTGCCGAGGGGCGCAGGCCCGGATGACTTGGTTCCCTTGCAACGGCTTTTTGGACCAAGCCTCAATTGGCAAGGTCTCGGCGAGTGAGTGAGCCACCTACCTGGTGGTGGATCGCCGAAGAAGGCTCTGCAACATGCTTGGCATGCCTTTCAACTGCAAGCCATGCTTGCCCTCCTACTGTCCATACACTATCTCCGCTTGGGGGCCCTGGTTTGAGGATGGGAGATCCCTGATGTGGCACTTTGTCAATCAGTCGTCTCAAGGGGAAATCCAAGCACTTGCTTCAGGTGAACCACTTTGGTCGTGGTGATGTGCCTTCAGGCCAATCCTGGAAGGCAAGGGCCCCCCAAAACAGCCCCTCCCAATAGGGGCTAATAAGCGGCTGATAACCCCCACTAAGGCCTAGTGGCTAATTCAGGGCTCCTTGTTTTCTTGGGGGTCCCCTGCTGACGGCCGCTGACGGCCACGGGATATCCTCGGCTACCCGACGCAACGCGAGGCAGTTCAACGCAGCAGGCCGATGGCCAGCCGCAGCAGACTACGCAGCAAACAATTGGATGCAATGGACTGCAATTGACTGACAGCTGAACCAGTGTTTATGCTCCCATGTCAACTTGTGACCCGTTGTAGCCTGGTGGCATCGTGGGCCCTGGCTGCCAGGCCTAGCTAGGTACGTTGTGAGGCTGGCCTCAAAAAAATGTTTTTTTTTAGGGAACCCAGCAAACGTGACTGACCCTCAAAAAAAAAGCACATCCAGCTGGGTTCACTTGTTGGGAAACCTGGGCATGACTGGTCCACTGGTCCAAACGGAGGAATCCGAGGTGTCGGGAGCGGATTCACCTTGCACGCCCATCCCCATTTCCCCGCTCGAGCTGTGCCCGAATCCTGAAGGCATTCCTGAAACTGGTCCTGCGCAGGCGCAAACTTCACGGGAGCAGTCTCAGCTCTTGCAAAGCATCTGAGTAGCCGGGCATCGGGCACGTTGGTATGTTGGAAAGGGATGGCACGGGCCCCTGTAAATTGGCTGGTGGGAAAATTGGACCCTGGAAGCTCCACCCGGTGGCCCTCTATATGTACCTGCAAGAAACATGAGGTGTTTCCAGTAATCAAGGGTGTTGAAGAGCTTCGGAGCAGTTGGTATGCAATATCTCTACTGTACATATATACATATATGTATAATATATAATGTACTGTCCACTTTTGAATGGTAGCGTTGAATGGTGGCAAACAAAGCATGAATCCCCCCCCACAAATAGTCAACTGTAGTGAACCTCCCACTACGGCCTGGTCTGAGCAACATATACCCCGTCCAAAGAAAACCCAAAACAACTCCCATCTTTCAGGGTGACAGTTCATAGGTTGATCCTCTCACCAAAGAACCTGACTAAAGGCCCTTGGAAGACCACTTTCCAGTGCATGGAGGCCTCACGCAGCGTGTGAGAACTTAGAAACCCAACAAAAAGGGTCGTCCGAAAGGAGTTTCCTCTCGAGTCGCTGTGTCTGGGAATTCATGCCATTTTGTTGGAGAGTGAAGAATGTGAGTGCTGCCTAGACGTGGTGCCCAAATAATCCGCCACATTCATCAGGACAAGCACTCTTGTTCTGCATTCAACACGGTTCACCTTTCGGCACCCTTCCATCACAACCAAGGACCTGCAAATCCCGAAGAGTGGTCAGCAAGACAAGTGTTCCGCGCAAGCTCTATCCGCTCAAGTAAGGCGTGAAAAGACAAACGGCTCAACTCCCCGCATGACGATGTGCTCAGTTGGTCGACGGGGTTGACGATTAAGCTATATATCCCCACTCCATTTAAACAAAGTGCAGCAAACATACTGTCTACCAAAATCCGTGCCAACAACCACAAGGACGGTCGCAAGGACTGCCCTCCTTGCACTGGCCACAGTGCCAACAACAAGCATGAAACCTACCAGTGTCACAAGCAAAGCCACCAGTTTCTGCCATACAACTTGCCGAAAACACATGATTAACACAGCCCGGTGCCAGTGCACACACGATCAAACCAGCTCTAGTTGCTGGTAACTAAACGCCATCCACCTGGGTTGTGGCTCAAACCAAAAACACTTGATTGGTTTCCCTGCTGTCTCCCTTTGAACCACCAAACCAGTTGTTCCTCCCACAAGGGAAGCCCACGCCTCGTCATCTTCCTCCCGTCGCTTCCAACAGCTCCTGAGGCAGACCGGCGAACACCCCATGTTCAAAAATGCTTATTTGGCTGCTCTTTGACTGACCTGTTTTCCTCTAATAACTTAACAATCCTTGTGACCTGCCCAGAATGTCTGCAAATGAAAGGCGCACCATTACACATCTTCCGTGCTCTTTCAGAACAGTGGGCCATTTTGTTGAGCAAAGCCAATATTTAAATGTCTGGACTGAGCGGCGGCCATGCGGACGCCGGGACACCTTTGGTGGGCTTCCGTGATTTCTTGGCGCAGCCCACACGAATCAAGGACAAGCTCTGGCTACTGCCCACAGATTACAACCCAGGATGCATAGAACGCTGGTGTGCCCTACTTTTGGGAAATGTCTGCACAATTTGAGGGAACGCTGCCCTTTTTTGCCTGACTGGTTGCTTACTGCCGTGTCGACATTGCTTGCTAATCTACGAGGCAGCCCCCAAACCCTGAACATCCACACACCTATACCAAAACACCCAGGACAACGGGAGTCCTGAAAACGAACACTGCCACTATGATGGTGAAGGTGTATGCCCTCATCGATCCTTCCGATGCTTGCGCCTGACGCGGACCCCGAGCCGGCTGCAGCCCTCATGAGTGTTCCAGTCACTTCCGATAAGCTTTCCCTCAAAGCCGAAGGGTTTCCGGATGGGCTGAATACCCCAGATCATCTGGGGAGTGCAATAACCGATCCGGAATCCTAGTCCTTGATAGCAGGGCAGGTTTTGCATACATCGGTAAGGTTGGTCCTGAGCATTTCTCACATTGTAGGACCATGGACTCGCGGCAAATGGGGTGTTGGCTGGTTCTCCGGTGATGCTGGTGGTTGCGCATTTATCCTGGCTTCGCAATTTCTCATAGATGCCCCTTGGATTGTTTCTGCAGGTGTGGATTTTCTCGAACAAACCCTAAGAATCTGTTCTTTTCCTGGCATCTCGATGGCTGTCGGACCGATTGCTGCAAAACATATTCTCATGCGAGCTGCCTTATGTTTATCTTCAATTAGACTTCTAGATCTGAGCCAAGCTGGCAGTGGCGTTTTGTCTTAAGTCTTATGCTGTTCGTGGTCTCGTTGCGGTTTCAGCTTGGATGCTCTTTGGGTATTGGTCTCTGGGACTCTCGTTCAGCTTGTGTTCTGTGGAATGGCCTTGCTGCAGTTTCCTTTCCTGCCTGGAGTGGCGATTGAACGCCTTGGACAGCGACTCCCCAAGAAAGGCAGCAACAATACGAATCCGCAGTTTAGCCTGCCTCCAGTAGAGAGGTTAGAACAAGGGTACCCTTTTTCTCTGGTCTATTTTAGTAGGGGAACCCTCCCCCAACCAAGAAACGGCAAAAGTTGGCACTACTGGAACACCTAGTAGAGGCCCCCCAAAACAATTTCTCATGCAGCGAGTGGCCCAGCGTTGAACCATCTCAAGCATTTTTCAGTGTCCCAGCGCAAATGACAACAAAAAAAAGAAAAGAAAACCAGAACAGCAAATGGCAACAAGAATAACATCAAATGTACCATCTGAACCAGAAATCGTTTGCCTCTTACGACAAAACAAGCACGCAATGTCCGGCCTCTGGCTGGAGCCAAGGAGCCAGGACCTGAATAATCAATGGGGGGAGCACCGGGCGCCAAAATATATATATATATATATATGTATATCCATATAGAAATATGTATATATACATATATAAATATGTATCCGATATGTCAATGTACATGTTTCACTTTTTCCAAGGGACCCCGAACATATTTATGCTTTTCAGATTTGGGTCTATACTCAAAAGACTATGAACTTCTTTGCTCTCACCCGTAAACAAGGAGGTCTTCATGGATTTTGCGCAAATCAGTCCTGCGCCCTTCGCCTCCAACCAACCCCCTGCAAAAAGTACCCGACCGGAAAATTGGCAACAAAGAGACATGACAACTTGGTTTCTCAATAGCCCCCCCTGATGGCAACTGCCTTTCCTACAATCATGAACGCCAACGGGAGCGTTGAGACTAGTCCTCTTGAAGAGGCCCTTCTGTCCACTCCCAGGATCGGACGGGAGGCCACACGGCCAGACCCTGCTCCCATATTTCCCGGGCTGCCACAGAAACCGAAGCAGCCCCAGAGTTCCCTTAAAACAAGACACCCACATGTAAATTGAGTTCCCTTAAGCATGACATCCAATGTGAATTTGACGTCAATGGAAAGCTCCCACACTTTCCGCTTTTCAGCGTGTCGCGCTCGGAGAGGCATACAGGTCCAGGTCCGAGGCCGAACTGCCCAAGAGCCGCGCCTCTCATTGCAAGGCTGCAGCTCTTGACTTGCACGTGCTGAGAGCCGTGAAGACGGCCCTGTGAAAAGGCACGCAGGAAAACAAAGAAAAAGGGCGAAGATCTCGACGTGTCCAACTAGTTACCGGCTTGAAAAGGGATGATACTGCATGCGGAGCTGGTCGTGGTGCTTTCTCGCAAGCAAAACCTATGTGGTGAAACGGGACATCAACACAGAATCATGGCTTCCCGCTAGCTCCGGCTGTACGACCCGCTGCCGGCCATTGCCTTAAAGCTTTGCTTGAAGCTGTGGCCATGCTCATAGCCGACTTAGCTGAAACCATGAAACCCTGGCTGGCACACAAGTGCTCATCAACCAGGACAATCCTGTCTGCAGTCTTTGCAGGCTCCCCAAAATAGCTTCTTGCAAGGGTCGGCTGTATCGCTACAGCCAACCTGCCGGGTGGTGTGCAAAGATCGCTTCGGAGTACTTTAAGGCTGTTTCAGGAATCTAGCAGTTTGCCCTTGCCTTGCAAAGCATTAGAGGAATTAACATCCGGGCAAACCAAACTTGCTGCATGGGCGGCCCCTGGTTGCTCGACACTGCGAACTGTCGGGCAACAGTTGGTTGGTCAGGTGCTTGGATTTCTTGTATGTGTTGCTAACCGTGAGTACAACTCCCCGCCCCACTCTCAAGGTTGACAATATCTAGAAAACCGCTTTTGAGCGGGTCTCCTCCCGCCCCCCGCCCCCCCCCAATTAACCCGATCTGTCTGGCCAATAGGTCAACTGCAGGAAAGCGAAAGGAACTTGTGATGATTTTCTGCCTTAGGAAGGTTTGTGCGAGAGGTTTGGGGGTGTTGTGGCAAACCTCTTGCACCGCAGACTTTTTCGGGGTCCCAAAGGTTTTCTTGGCGCGGATAGTCCAACATCCGGCTCGTCTGGTGCGCGGGGCCCAACTAGGTGTTCTTCCAGAAAACGCAACCCATCCACACTCAAGCTTGCAGGAAGATGTTGATACCATCAAACAAAACACACATAAAATAAAATGCATATATATATATATACAATATAAATATCAGACCCCTGACGACTGTCCCACCCAGCTGCTTTTTGGGGAGCCGCTCTTGAAACCGTCGAACCAATTTCGGTGAAGATTGGCTTTGGCCAGCCATAGCCACGGGAACCGGCAGCTTTGTCCTGAGTGTAGACGAGTCAGCACACAGTTGACGCCTTTCCAGAATGCGTTCTAATGCTGTGAAAGGCTTTGGGACAACCACCGTTTTCTGTGCACCGCATGCACGACAGGTTGAACAACGATGTCACACAGCTTGGCGAACTCAGTCGGTTGTGAAGACTGATGCGTAGGTAAATACATATATATATGTACTGTGCATGCTCTGCACATGGCATTAAGAACAATCTTCAAGGCAGTGCTAATTTCGGGGACTTACCCACACACACACACACACACAGCGCCCCAGCAGCAAGGGGATGCGCATAACACCATTCAGGATGGATGCTAAACAATAGCCCGCCCTCCCCCTGGACCGGAACCTTCCACTGTGGCTGAGCATGAATTCGCAAGTTTCCCAGTATATCCCAGGTCCCTTCTCGATCCTATAGCTGTGACAACTAGCATGTCCCGTGGCGAAGGCTTGTGCCTGAGGCAGTGGCCTTTGGCTTTGCTCCGTGCCGATTGACAAATGAGGGCACGCAAAGAAACCATTGCAGCGACGAACTGCTTAAAACTCACCTCAGACCGCGTCTCTGCGCGGGAGCCAAAACTGGGTAGGGCTTGTTGATAGACGCGCCCTTAAACTCAAAATTGTACTTAGTTGTACAACCCAAGAAAGTCCAAATGGATGGGTGACATTGAAACGTGCTGCGCGCCCAGCGCGATCCGTCCGGTCACATGCTGGACACGCTAAATTCGGGAACTCTGCAAGGTACAGTTGGGGCTGCTCCAGCCTAACCTGCCTCAAAATGTGCCGGCGCGTGGCGTGAGAATACACCCACTCAAGGTCATTACTTGACGAATGGACCTTGCCACTGGCTGCCGCAGGGGCATTTGCTACGCTCTTTCGGTCTTTTTTCCCCAACAAAGGGACCAAACAATACGTGGCTCCAAACTCCGGAGCAACCTGCCGGCTTCTCGCTGCATACCTTGCAGCTTGCCGACCTCAGCTGCCCAGCCACCTGGAAATGGGAACCAACACCCACCGATAGGAAAAAGACGCATTTTCTATATGTCAAAAACTCGAAGGGACAGCCCCCCAAGTATACGAGCTTTATCATGGGCTCTACTCACAGCCACAAAATAGGCATGCAAGACAAAGTGATTGCAGCCGCGCCGCTCAAATCGATCACTGTGTCACGTTGCGGCTCCATATGGTCAGCGCATCGAGGTCACCAGCGAAGTCCCCGAAATCGGAGCGTGGGGAGAGGTTGGACACCGGCGTCAGGGCGGAAACGCTAGGCCTCGGCCAACCAACCCCACCTTTGGAACAATGGGTGTGTGAAATAGGATTCCCCCCCTCAAAAATTGGGATTGTCATTTGAACTTCCCTCTGAAGCAACCTGACAGGTTTGTTCTCTGTTGGTGTGCCAGGCTGACTCATCCGGGTTCAACAGTACTGCAATAATGACGACACATGTTTATGTTTGCAGGATTGCTTCCGCTTTCTTTCCGCCCGCCGTTCTCTCACAAGCCGGCCGTTCTCAAGTCAAGAGCTTGTCTTTTGAAGGAACTCAAATGGCAACGAGCCCGTTTTGCCCCAAGTGCGTGGCTTTTGTTTCATTTGCCACCCAAGCGCTCCGCAAACACCTGAAGGTGAGGGCAGTACTGTTGACCCGCATATTCACGAACCCCAGTTGATTGATAGGGGGATGTTTCATCACTTTTGGAGGGGAGAACACCCCCACGTTGATACAAACCGGGGTTGGGCAAACTGCCAAGCGTTGACGCAGCGGCGAGGAGATCGGGGACGCGGAAGTGGAGCCCTTGGAGAGTCGCTTTCGTGGGAGCAGCAGCCGGTCCTGCAGCGCGCTTCTCTTGTGGTCCACCCACTCGAAACTTGCCGCATTCAACGTGGAGCCCAAAAGGAGCTTCCGGGGTGCCTTGCCCTAGTGAGAAGGGATGGTTCTTGGGGCTACGTCGATATTTCTGCGCGGGGAATGAACCCCAAAAGGGAAACCAGCCAACTTGTTCACCCTTCCCCAATTGTTTGCTTTGAACCCCAGGCCTCTCCTGAAACCAAATGTTTCTGACCCCGGAACCAAGCAACCAAACCAAGCCACCAAAATAAAGGTAACGTGGACCTGTTGAGTTCCTTTGGAATATTAATTAGATGGCACCGGTGAAAGATTCGAACCCAGCAGAAGCCACTGAAATCAAAACCCCTGATGGACCGGACATGCCCCCCCCCCCTCGCCTTAGACACCGCCTTGCTCTCCAGCGTGTGCTGGCGCTGCACGTCCGGCATGTAGGAGGCATAGAAGGCCTCGATGGGCCCATCTTTGGCCGCCTGCGCGAAGTACTTCATGTACCACCTCGCTGGGCGCTGGGCGATGCGAAGGTGGCGAAACGCGTGACAGCTGTGGCGAAGGTTCCCCTGGGTGGCACAAGCTCCGAACCCCATTTTGCAACTCGAGTCATGCTGGGCATTGAATAAACATGGTGTGCTCCCCTCATTTCGCTCGATTGAATGAGCAAAGCTTGCTCAGTTCGTTTGCCGCTAAACTTATCTGCCTAAAAGGCGTCATGGTTTGGAGTGGTGGCTTCGAGAGCGGTCGGGGGGGGGGGGGGCAGGTCTCCTGCTTATTCGCAAGAGCGAGGGCTCAAAGCCAGAGCACCAGTCAAATGCAAGCTTTTGCTAATGGCAACCAGCGATGTTGGCAAATTGCAATTCGCAAGCCTGAAGCAAGGGAATCCCATGAGCAAACCTCTTTGGTGGCTTGGATTTGCGCTCCGGTGGCATCAAGGCTCAGCTGACGGTGGCTTGCTCGTTCCGTGAAACACACGGAGGGGGGTGGCAAATGCTAAAACGAAGGAACAATCACTGCCCAAACGCGCGACTTTCCTTGGTTTCAGAGGAAACCCTCGCCCAAATCTGGACAACAAGGCCTGAAAGCCGCTTGACCGAGCAGACTTTGTTATTTGCTTTCAGCCCAAGCGCTCCGTGAATTCCTCAAAGTCGATCACGCCGTCCTGCCCAGATCAGAACATTTTTTGTCAGAGGTGGGTCCAGTGCGTGGCACACGGCCCTATTCCTTAGGGAGCCCTGGAGAAGCTCAGGTCTCCCCCCCTTAGCAACCCCATACTGATAGCCTGAAAACGAGCAGCAACACGAAAAGCAAGACTGAGAAAAGATCTGTCAACAGTAACAACGTCGACATACATACATACACATAATATGAATATGAATATGTATATATATATATATATATATGTGTGTGTGTGGGTGGTTACCCCCCCCCCCAAGATCCGCGCCTTTGGCCTGCAGCCATTGTTGCTGGATAAACTGGACAGGTGCTTTGCTTGGACGAGCTGCTAAAAACAGTCAACCAGTCTTTGTGTGTTTTCGCTACGTCTTGTGATATGTTCTGCCTAGTTGCTCACTTGCCATCACCTTCCGCAGGGAGTGGATTCAGAAACGGGCTTTGTGGGGAAACATGTGCAGGCAGGTTGCTGGTCATGAAGCCTGAAATATTAGGCACCCGCACTGCTTTGTGCTGCCAAGTGCTGACACACTGCAAGCTCCAGACTTTTCAGGCTTTAGAATCAGAAAGTACAAGCTACTCTTTGTGAAGTCTTGGGAGGTTAGATGCGAGACGGCTGGAAACACTGCTTGCTTCACGTGTCCCATGTTGTTTGACGTGTTTCATGGACAACTGCACTTTCTGCTTCCGAAAGCATACTTTTAGGGACCTCTTAGCATGTTGTGCTGCCAAGCGCTGAAAACACAAGCACGACAAACAAACAAACCAACAAGCAAGCAAACAAACCAACAAACGAACAAGCAAACAAACACACACGCAAACAAAGCAACACAACGAGCAACAAAGCAAACAAACCAACCGGCAAACCAACAAACAAACAGAACGCAAACCAAACAAGCACAGGCAAATAAATATATCAAGAAATAAAGACAAACACACACACACAGAAATCAATAAATACATAAACATAATGAATAACACATTTTTAAACAAAAGGGACAGCAACAAAACAAACAAGCAAGCAACCACGCAAACGAAGCAAGCCGGCCGGCCAGCCAGCCAGCGGGCAAGCACACAAACAAGCAAGCAAGCAAGCAAGCAAGCAAGCAAGCAAGCAAGCAAGCAAGCAAGCAAGCAAGCAAGCAAGCAAGCAAGCAAGCAAGCAAGCAAACATGCAACAACGCTAACAAGGCGGCCATCATCCCCGCGATCATCACTAGCACCACAGCAACAAGAACAACTTTGATGATGACGGCCACAATGACCAGCGCAAGGATCACAGATCTTCCAAGTCTGCTATCCCTTTACCAACTGTCAAAGAATGCTCTCTGGTCCCAAATGCACACCAGGAACGCCCCAGCTTCGAACCCTTCGGCGCTTCTCGCCCCTTGGGTCCTTGTCTTTGTCCGCCTCGTTCCAGAACCGCTGCAGCCGCGAGCTCGGCAAGTCCGTCTTGCCTCGAGCTCCCGCGCGGCCCCTTGAACTGGAAGTTGCGTGAAGCAGCTCTGGATGTAAAAGTGTTCTTATCATATATGGCCGTGGCTCAGAAAACGTGGAATGCCAAGATGGCACCTTAAATGGAACCAAAGGCTAAAACCCGCGTAACCCCCGGCTCTTTAATGTTGAGCCCTGCCCATATCTATATATTGTAAACATAAGTATTAATAGAAGGAAAACTCTAGGTGCGCATAACATACAATGGACGTTGCCTCACAAAGGAGCTTTGATATTGGCCGGCCGGCTTTGCCTACCAAACCATGCCACCTTGACAGGGTGCACATCGTCAAATACCAGGCCAGAACTACTGAGGACAAGAATGGATACCCCGGATGAGCTGCTTAGCTACTTGGAAAAATACTGGACATTACTGGACAAGGCTATGGGAAATTACCACTTCTGTGAAACAACAAAAAGGGCCTCCCAAAGACTCCCCCATATAAAGAGGTGATTGCCTCGTATCACAGAACCCCTTGATCCCACCCGATACTGACCACTCTGGTCCTGCACCTGCCGTTTCGAAGAGCAAAATCCAGCCACAGAGTTTCCCCATCGGCCAAATGTCGTTTCCCGAAACCCCCTGGAACTGGAACTGCTCTGGAGCAGTCATCAGAAAACCCGGCACATGCAGCTGTCGCGCTTGAAAACCCACTAAAAACAACCTCAAACCGGGATGGAAGAAGACCCTTCCAAGTGGTTGGTTCCTCATGCTGGGTTCCAGTGCCCTCCCCACAGCAGCCCCACGCGCGCTGGCAATGCGGCAAGCGGCCGGTGCAACCCAAAAGCTGGTAGATCATGGATTCAAACTCCTGCTCATCGATGAACTTGGCCGGCAAAAAAGGACAACCGAACCATGGCCTTGTACCCCCCAAGAGCAGAGGATGGAGTTCTACATCTCGGGCATGATCTTTCTCACAGTGCCAGAGGGCAACAAAAGAAACACCGCAGACTTGCTGCTAGCGGATGTGGGGATACAACATTTTGAGCTGCTCAGGTAACCTTGCAAACTTAAACAAGTGATCCGGAACAAGCAAGGGTTGCCAACTGGGTTTGGCGGGTCATTCGACACGTCATTAATTTCCATAATCATATCCGCTGGGTAAAGTTGCCGACTAGTCCTGATTCCAGGCAGATTGTGCATCCTCACATGGAGTTTGATCACCTTTGCGCCAAGCTGCGCCAGACTTGTCCAGGTCGAATTGGTCGAACTTCAGCTTGACCTTGGCCGGAGCTGTCGAAATGCGGGCCTCCAATCTTCGAAAGCGACTTCCTCCCACTGGAAGGCACTTGTAGGTTGGAAGGCGAACTTCCACTCCAAGGGACGCGCCTTGTCAAGCGAAAGGTGAGTGGGAAGGACGTCCAAACGATCATGCACTGTGTCTGCCCAGGCAGTTCCCTTCACAGGAATCGAGGAATCACAGTTTATGTAGCACCCAGACATCAGACACTAGCCCTTCCTGCTTATTCATCTTACTCATCCCAAACCGAGACAAGGGAAAGGCCCGTTCAAGGCCTATCTTTGAATCTCAGTTGGGAGCGGTGTGGGGCTGACACGAAAGGGGTTCACAAATGTCTGCATGGGTTCCAATGCGGGCTCATGTTTGTCACAAGTTGCCAACTGATTGCAATTGTATCTCAGCACATGCTGCATGCGAACGCAGGCCAGTACGAATCGAGCTTGCCTTTCGATTGAAACAAAAGGCTAAAGGGGAAGGCAGTAGCATGGATAGCAGCCGCCAGTCGTGTTCAGGAGTATCCAGTATCCACAAACGTGCATCAGTATGCATGAGCGTGCCTCTTTGCTCAGAAGTGAGTCTGTGCATCAGCAAACCCTGCAGTTGCCATGACGGGCACAAAGAACTTGGGGCGTATCGGCTCCACACCTGGGCTGCGACCCCTATTCAACAGGCGGCCCAACCAAAAGAGCACCGAAGCCAAGCCATCTGCCTGGAAGCTAGCATTTAACTAACTTGCCTCACTCACCTGTTTATATGACCAGGCGCACGCCCACACGCAACCTGAGCTCCAAAGGCCTTCCTTGAAGCCAAGGTGCCTTGTCCAAATCGAGGCAGGAGCAGTGATACCTAAGGGCACGTCCGCACATAGGTTCGATGCCCGGGTTTGTTGTGTAACGGGTGGTTTGCCAAGCATTTGGAAGCACAAGTCGATAATCGCAACTTTGGATGATGCCCAGTTGCTCAGCGGGGATATGGAACAAACGGGGTGTTACAAAAAAAGCTGCCACTGCTGAGCGTCCGTGCATTTGCAGTTGCAGCTTCCGAAAGATCATCCGAGCTTCATTCCAAGCCACGCAAAACTCATTGGTGTTGCACGTCCCTTTTGCATGCAGCCTCAAAACAGAAAACCGCTGACCCCTGTGCAACCTTAAGAAACTCGACCTTCTGCATCACTCCTTACATGCGAGATTTCGCAAAGGCTCTCGTTAACGGAGCCTTGCTCCTTTGGACTATGGTCCCAGACAACCCTGTGCAAGCAATGGTACGTTTCCAGTCACTTGACCTGGCAAACGCCCTTAAATGAACCGGTCATACCATCTGCACAAAATACCATCCTTGACATATTGGAAACACTGATGTCCACATGATGGGAGAGCTCGCTTACTTCCCCAGGTAAGCTTTTTGTGATTTGTACAGCATAGAACCTTCGAAGGGTGTGTGAGGTCTCATGTTTGGGTTTCTCTAAATTTGCGGAGACGGGGCGGCAAACAAGGGTCACTAAATTTCCTCCTCAAAAGTTGATCAATGCCGGCGGCATCCAAAGAAACTACCTTGGATTCAACTGGAACTTACTGGGTTTCAAATGACGCTGAGTCACAATACAAGCAAGGCATCAACATGCCTACCCAGAACCATGTAAAGATATATTTAAAACAAGGCGGCTGCACCCAATTCTGTTTGGTTTGGTTATGGCGAACCTTCATCTGACTGTGGCCCACTTGGCTCAAGCCAGGGGATGTAATTCGCCGAGCGTCTTCTTCGCGAGCTCCAGGGTGAGATAGTCGCTGTCCGGGCCCTTGGCCGTCTTGCTCAGGGCGAAGATGTTGGCGCGGTACCTGTCCAAAGCCCATTGATGAGGAACTGCTGTTCAACGCTGCTTTTCCTTTTCGATTATTTATTTGTTTCATGTTTTTCATTTGTTCTTTATTTAATGAATTATTATCTCTTAACATTTTGATTATTAACCCTGTCCTGTGTTGGCCTAATAGATCTTCAGGAAGCTGGAACCTGGATGTCTACAGTATCGCGTTTCAACCATCAAGTAAAGGCCATTCATTCTCCCAGCATCTGGAGGATGTGATTTTGGTGCTCATCAAGGCATCTACTGAGGGCAAGGTGAAACTCGGCCATGTTTCTTCAAGACCAAAACGGACACCCCCGGCCATTTGTCCTATGGTTCTAAAGGTCCTTTCTGAGTCCTATCCTGATTGGGCCCCCACATGGCGATTCCTTTACCCCGGAACTTTGTGGCTGGGGGGCAGAGGCAACCGCTCTAAATGCGATCCGACCCCCGTGCGCCCCATGTCCCCATTGGCTTAGGGTGGCTTCAGGGGACACCACAAGAATCGCCTCAGATGTTGGGGTCCAAATGACAAGGTCCTCCAGTAGAGAGGTTAGAATAAGGGTACCGTTTCTTTTTCCTGTAGTCTGTTTTGAGGAACCCTCCCCCCAAAAAAGAATCGGAGAGAAGGGCACTGGGGGGCCTAGAGCAAGATTCACCTTAAGACCTTTGATCCATGCATCACTCTAAGGTTAGCTTCCATTTCCATTCTTTCCAGGGATCCCTCCTTCCTTCCAGGGACCAAAATGGAACCCTGGTAAATGGAAAGGACTCAAACCTGCGGTTCCCTGATGGTTCAATTTTGACCCATACACATATTGGAACATCTCCATTCTTTTCCCGGTGCCCCATGGAAGCTGACTGAAAATCGTCCCCATTGCCCAAGGCACCAAGCCATGAAGCGACGCATGTTGATGGGGCCCTCTGCGACGTAGGCTTCTGCGTAGGCTTCCTCCACATGGAACCCACCCAAAAGGTCCCTGTTACAGGAAGATGTGTCCTTTTTTTTCCGGGGACCCCCCCCCCCTGCCAATTATGGTTGTCCTTTTGGTGTTTCTTTAGAACCACCAAAAAAGGCGTACCCTGAAAAAAAGACGAGCCACCCCCCCATTTGGGTTCCAGGACTTCCTAGGTTCCATGTGGATGGGAGTGTCCCCGCACTTGCGCAAAGCCATCCTCCTGGAGGAATCTCCGTTTTGGGGGAACCCCTTGTTGGGTCCCAGGTGAATTTCTAGAGTAACTACAAATTCAAACAACCAGACCAAACAACAGAGAGCAACAAACAAACCAAAGCAAGCCAACCAACAAGCCAAAAGCAATGGACCAACATGCTAAAAGCAATCAACCAGCCAAGCAACCAGCAAGATTACCCAACCAACAAGCCAACAATGATGCGGGACAATGAACCAGCCAATCAACCAGCTAACAAACCATCAAGAAGCAGTCAGCCAGTCAGCCAATCGACAAAACAAACGCATCAGCACCAACCTTGCCCAACACAATTGGCGTCTACATCCCTTAGATTCCACTCAGATTCGAGTTTGCAACCGGGCATGAGGAACTTTCAAGTAAAATCCTTCACCATGGAGCTCGTTTTACCCGAACTGATGGATGGCTGTAGCTTGCCCGGAACTGATTCACCCCTGCGGCGCCATTCAAGGACCCCCTCCCCCCACAATTTCCCATTCAACCCAACATGCGATTGCTTGAGGCAAATCAAGCAGCACAATGAACCTGATGGTTCTCAATGAACCTGTTTGATCCCGGATAAGATAGGTTTCCCTCAGGGGGCCGTCTCGCGTCTGAAGTTCCGAGCGCGTCCCGCGTCAACGAGTATCCGTCCTGCACCTTGCGATCCGCAAGGACTCCGAAAAGGCGCTCCAGGCAGGAGCGGAAGACATCTTCCTTGGGCCATCTGAAATTGAGACAGCTAGCTCGGATTCAGTGGGCAGAATGCAATGAATCACATACAGGACGCGGGAACATCAAAAGGTCGGGCTTGTGCAACCTTGCAAACCAGCGCAAAGGAATCATTTTGCTCCTAGGTGAGATCACGATAGGATGCGAATAGTATTACTCTGTGTGGCGCTTGGTTTACCAGTACCAAGCTCAAGCCCATTGCAATGATTTAGGCCCTTGCAGGAGAAGCAGGAAGTTAGCTTGGGAAAAGCCTATAGACCCAACTTCCAGCTTATACTGCAACCGGGACCCTTCAAAACTTGCTTGCAGGCAACGATTTCCCAGAAAAAACCATGGGTGCCAGCGACCCCCAAACGGGTTTCCTTGTGGTCTTCCGGTCTCAAAATTTCAGGGACCCAAACGGGACTTGCGCGGGTGACAGCCGCCTTCGGAAGCCCACCTAAGTTGAAGGCCGGACGACCGTGCAGGCCACTTGAGGTGTTTCCAATGGGGCGGCGTTCAAAAGGTCTTAGGTCGTAAGGAACTCTTACGCCAAGGTGCTTGGGCGAGCTTACGCGCAATACTGGCTTTCTTACAAGGTTGCATTTATCTAAGCTTCCCTTGCGCAAACCTTGCGCGCAGCTCAGGCGAAAACAATTCCTTACGAAACTGGACGGTTTCCTTACGCCCGCTTTCGCCACACATGCACATCCCACCGGCATCCGTCCACACACCTTTTGCCCCCGGGACCCCCTGCAGCCAAAAGCATGCGCCAGCCAATTGTGCGCGCCGCGCGGAGCTGAACCCCCAAAAACCAGGAAAAAAAAGCGGTCTTGCAAATGCACAAAACCAAAAACGAATTAGCGGCGCGCACTAATCCGTTTTTGCGTTTTCCACTCCCCAGCCAAGTTTTACCAGTAACTAGCCTCAAAGAGGCATTAGTGACATGCACTAACTCCGTTTTTGGGTGTTTGAGCCCCCAACAAGACATTCCAGGTGCCAAAAACCAAAAACGAATTAGCGGCGCGCACTAATCCGTTTTTGCGTTTTCCACTCCCCAGCCAAGTTTTACCAGTAACTAGCCTCAAAGAGGCATTAGTGACATGCACCATCTCCGTTTTTGGGTGTTTGAGCCCCCAACAAGACATTCCAGGTGCCAAAAACCAAAAACGAATTAGCGGCGCGCACTAATTCGTTTTTGAGTTTTCCACTCCCCAGCCACGTTTTACCAGCTAACTAGCCTCAAAGAGGAATTAGTGACATGCACTAAGTCTGTTTTTTGGTGTTTGAGCCCCCAACAAGACATTCCAAGTGCCAAAAACCAAAAACGAATTAGCGGCGCGCACTAATTCGTTTTTGAGTTTTACACTCCCCAGCCACGTTTTACCAGCTAGCTAGCCTCAAAGAGGTTGGGCTCCCGTGTTCCCTTTGCCTTTGCCATAAACGGGGTTGACCATCGGGCGACACACTGAAGCCAACGGTCTTTAAGCGTTGTAAACATCACACCACCTACCGCGACAGCCAAACGGTGATGTTTACGCCTCAAACAAATGGGGGGGTATAGACGCCTACAGGTTTTAGGAAGCTTTGCAAACCATCTCTGCTAAACACAGGCGGTTTGAGTGTGAATCTTACCCTTGTGTTAACATCATTCACATAGGGATTTATGTCCACCGACCATTTCTGAAGGATCCTGGGCAAATTACTACTTGCCCAACTCGAATTGAGGGAACCGGAAGCAAAGAAACTTCGCCGTGGGTCAGCTCGCTTTTCCCCGAGTTGAGCTTGTCATACGTTGTTCAGGTGCGGTCCGCTCAAGGGTTGGGCCAGCCACTGGAGCTAGTCTGCCCAGTGACCCGTGTAAAAGGGGCCCAGGGTTTCAGACTGCGATGCGAAGTGGGACCCCCCCTGATTGAATCTTGAAGTCTGAAAAACGCTCAGACCACCCGGCCATAAATCAGTTCCTCAAGGGATTCTGATCCAAGGGATGCCTCAGGCAGTCGAAAATCAGAACAAACAAAACGTAAAAGTATTGCCTGCCCTATGACTTTGTGCTTGCGTCCGGGCTTGCGACCTGGAAAGTAGGCCAGTGGTTTCATGCGTACATAATGTTAATTCCATGTACGGTTTGGCTGTGCCGTTTGCGGCTATGCCCTTGATGCTAGGGCATCCAGACCGTGTTCAAACAAGAAAGCAAGCAAGCCAACACACAAAGCAGCAGGCAAGCAAGAACACAAAACAACACACAACCAAGTAATGAAGCAGGTCATAAAACAAAGCATCAAAACGCACATTGCACAAACAAAACCACACCACCAACACGCACGAAACAAACCACCGAACAACAAACAACAAGCAAACACATGATTGACAACGAAACAAGCATCAGTCGACATGCATTGCCCTCTTCCGGAACCATGCCTACGTTCCAAAAAAGCCTTCGCAGCATCATTTGGCCATGGGTCAAAACCCCGTACCCCCAGTGAACATCCCAATCCCCACCAAAATAGGTTCTAAAATGGGTGAACTAAATGGAGATCCCATTGCTTTTGAGCCATGGCCATCCCTGCGAAGCCACGGAGAAAAAAAAAGGAGGACACAAAAACACCCCCCCCCAAAAAAAAAAACAAAAAACGCGCCCCGCCGCGCCCCATCCGCGGATGTTCTCGCGCTCAGCGTCCGCCATACCGCCGTTGGCCAGGCGCCGGTCCTCCCCTCGGAGCTCCTGCACCTGGGGTGGAAAACGGACAAGAACCACCAATTGTTGGTACAACA